TCGTCAGTGTTCAGAAGACGCTCAGGGCACAGATCGAACTGATTTCTGGAATACAAACCAGTTTTTACGGCTATCTTCTGTTCTGTCAATTATGACACCAAGGATATTTCTAGGATCGCCTCTCCCTCGATCAACAAGTGGAACTGGCACACACACAAACGTTGTCCCCTTGTTTGCCAGCTGGCATATATCTATGTTACAGTAAGAACACGTAGATCAATCTAGTTAATACGCGTAATCACTGAATAGTTCAGTGAAAACGCGTAATCCTTGTACAGTGGCGGGGCTAGTATACGTGAATTCACTGGATGATCAGTAGTAAAAACACGTAAAATGATAGGTCTAATTTTAGAGATTTCGCGTAATCACTAGAAATTTCAGTGATTACGTGAAACCCCCGAGTGAAACGGGGATTACGTGTATTCACTTACTAAAATATTCAGCGATTACGCGTATTCACTAGGTACGCATTCTTACTGTAACATATATATGATAATGATAATGAAAATAATAATAATAGTCTCCTATATATAGCATATTATGGGCACGTACAGTTACAGTGTTCGCCTCTCATTCAATAGTTCCCGAGTTCGAAACTCCACGTAGGCCTACAGCGCTGGAAAAAGGTCCTTCACTAAAATGTTCTCCTTTCACCTCCTTTCTTATTCGCTAGACCTGTTTTGCCATCTGCTTTCATCTGTAAGTTATTCTCCCCATTCCACCAACCTGCCCCAGTCCTGGGCTTCTCTCACCTTTACCCCTCCCCCTCTTTGCTCCTCTCTCAAAATGTTTTGCTTCCCTAGCTACTTCTAATTACTGCTGTCTTTCAGCCACACCCCTGGTAGGTAAGATCGAAAAGTCGAACGGAAAAAGGCGAAAAAAATCTGGGAGGCGGTTGGTCTCTGTGTAAGTTGTGCACATGTGCACAGTTGAAAGATCCCTTAGGGGCAGTTCAAATGTAGTCTTACACCTTTTTTGAGACTTTTTGCACCCCTTCCTTTACACTTCTCTTACATTTACCTGCCCCCCCCCCCAAAAAAAAAAACAAAAAAAAAAATTAATAGAAAAATAATTTACATTTTAAAAATCCCGTAATATTACATTGTTCACTTTTAATAATAATAATATGCATTTATATTGCACCAATCCTTGTTACAATCATTCTATGCGCTTTACATAATATTCACGAAAAACATGCATACACACATACATACACATTAAAATAATATGCAGTTCTACATTCACAAAAAAAAATTTACAGGGTAAATCATTCAAACAATGCAATTTATTATTAACAAAAGATTGCATACACTCTGAATTCTTACTAATAAGGAAATAATTGAGACTCATGTCAATGTCAAAAGCGCCTTAATTACAAATAAAATAAATTACGGTGGTGAATTCTGATAACGTCAACATGACCTCGCGACCGAAAATAAGTGTTTGAGCATGGTTGACTTTATTCGTTGTACTACTGGCCATTGAAAATGGAAGATGACAGCTAGCTACAAATTAATTACAAAGTACATGTACCAGGTAACAAGCTGATAGCTCGATTTCAGTGAGTATAAAATTCTGAAGTTGTCACCAAAAGCAAGAGATAATAAGTGAACGAAGTAATTGGAGGTGTGTACACCACATAGCACAAGCTCAGGCCCTAAATATCTCTTCTTAAATTATTGACTTTAGGCAAGGTTAACACTCAATCGGCTGACCGTGTCAGACACACAATTACTTAAACAAAGAAAGTAAGAAACTGGACCACAGTGTGATGTTGACTGTGTAAGCAAGAGTTGATTATAAGCAAGTCGTTGACTTTATCAGGATTCCACTGTATCTGCTATTACTGATCATTATGCTATTATGTTTAAAACAAAAAGTGAAATTAGCTATAATCAACAAAGGCATTGTTCATTATTATGTCAAAATATGATTAAAAAAACCAGGGGCATCTGCTGAGCTGTCTTCCAAATTTGGATCCTAGTCCTGCTTTCTCCTCTTCCTCCTCTTCTTCCTCCACCTCCATTATCTTCCTCCCTCCTGTGTAAAGCCTTTGTGCCTCTTCAATGCTGCAATACTTGGAAAATATTTTCCACATCCTTGTCGCTTCTGCACACTCTTTGGCTACGGAGCCTTTCTTGACCAACGCCACCCTTTTTTCCCCGTTAATTTTTCACCTTACGAAAGTGTAATATTATATTACATTGGTTCAAGACCCCCCCTCCCTTCTTACACTTTTCTTACTGGATCCAAAGATCCCCCCCCATCTTCCAAGTGTAAGATTATATTTGAACAGCCCCTTTATAACTGGTTTTCTGAAATCGATTAGAAGAGTCAAAATTAATTTCTACCAAAAACTGAAGATACTGTAGCCATTATAAAAACAATAGGATAGATGAAAACCTTTGAAATCGGAAAGTGGCTGCCTGAAGGAAAGGGGCCCTTTAACTTAAGTAGGAAAAACTATATACTTTGTGCATGTACATTAAAGAAAAAAAATATTAATTGCACTCAAGGTCCTTGGTTGTATTGCAGGTTGAAAAACCAGCAGTCGACACTACTCCTGGGATCTAGCAATGGAAGTCAAAGAAAACGAAAGACAATGGCGATGATGAAATTTTTCTTTTCTTTTGTTCCTCCTCCCATTTGCAATCACATGTACTTATAATATATTATAATAAGAAGAAAAGATATTTCTATTTTTGTCCTCACGAAATCCTTGTTTTAGTCGACCGCTTTTCAAGTCCGTTGTTTATTTTTTGAGCCTTTGATGGGGGTTTTGATGTACATTTATCACAAGAATTCGCTATTGGGTTGAGCAGTTTAGAATACTGTCATAATGAATGATAATGACATATCGCAGAAGCCCAGACCTAGTCAATCAGCCTAAATTGTGCATCAACGAAGAAGAAGGGAGCGAGGTTGTAACTTTTACAGTTAAAATAACGATAGACAGACTGAGGCTTCCGGTCACTTCAAAGAGAATGATAATAAAACAGTGGCATTATTTGTCACCTTGTGCAAATAAACAGTATTTCGACATCGATACCATGATATATCGTGGAATCGATTATCTCTTCGTGATCTATCTTTGAGGCCTAGGCCTAAGTATCGTTACATGATATCGTATGAGATAAGACAGAGAAATTATTATATCTACTCTCAAGTAGGAATCAAGATGGCTGGCGTTGTGCTTGAAACTCTGAGCAATAGAAAGCTGTTGATTTTAAGTGTCTCGCTAGTTCTTATCCTGGCAGTCTTCTTTTTGATAGGAGGATTAGTTGGTAGGTGATGAGATCAGACTAGATCTAAATATCGCTTTATTCTTTCAAGTGGACTTTACCTTTTCGAAAGCCTTTCCTTTTAGTAGGCGAAGTGATTCATATCATCATAGTCATAGACTATAGATCTAGACATTTAATAGCCTCTACCTGTTGCTTTCCGATCCATGTCATGACTCACTTTTTTATGGGAGTGTATACAGACCCGGTAACCGGGAACAAAGTCACAAAGTATACAGACC